TTAAAAAAAAAATTTATTTTATTTATTTGAAAGAGTTACAAAGAGGTAAGGCAGAGAGAGAGTCCTCCATCCGCTGGTTCACTCCCCAGATTGCTGCAACGGCTGTCGCTGCACCAATCCGAAACCAGGAGCCGAGCGCTTCTTCCTGGTCTCCCACGTGGGTGCAGGGAAGCCAGGGCTTTAACCTGCTGCACCCACAGCGCTGGCCCTGACTAAGGTTGTTTTGAGACATTAACCAGAGAAATGAAAAGATACATATAAAGTTATAGAAGTTTAAAGAGGGCCGGCGCTGCGGCTCACTAGGCTAATCCTCTGCCTAACGGCGCCGGCACACTGGGTTCTAGTCCCGGTCGGGGCGCCAGATTCTGTCCCGGTCGCCCCTCTTCCAGGCCAGCCCTCTGCTGTGGCCAGGGAGTGCAGTGGAGGATGGCCCAGGTGCTTGGGCCCTGCACCCCATGGGAGACCAGGAAAAGCACCTGGCTCTTGGCTCCTGCCATCGGATCAGCGCGGTGCGCCGGCCACAGCGCGCCAGCCGCGGCGGCCATTGGAGGGTGAACCAACGGCAAAGGAAGACCTTTCTCTCTGTCTCTCTCTCTCTCACTGTCCACTCTGCCTGTCAAAAAAAAAAATAATAATAATAATAATAATAAAAAAAAGAAGTTTAAAGAGGGCAAGTGATTGCTGGAAAGTGTACCTTTCCAGACTTTTCCTACCATCTGTGTACCTTGTAAAAACAGGACCTGTCTAGCCACACTATTTTGTTTTTAATTCCATTTTATTGGACAGGCAGATAAACAGAGAAAAACAGAGGGATCTTCTGCCCACTGGTTCACTCCCAAAGGCCTACAACAGTTTGGGAGCTCAGCCCAGGTCTCCCACATGGTGTCAAAGAGGCGAGTGCTTAAACACGGCTGTCTCCCTGAGCGCACAGCAGCAGGAAGCAGAGGTAGACTTTGAACGCAGGCACTCTGATACGGGATGTGGCCATCCCAAGCCACATCCTAACCACTGCGCCACATGCCACACCCATACACACTATTTTATAGGCTGCCTCACTGAGTAAGAAGTCAGGACAAGCTTTTCATGTCAACTGACTTCATTTTCATGAAGGGCATTTATACTTACATCTATTGATTGCCAACTACCTAGCATACTGGTGCCTATTACAAAGTAACAAGTGAGCTGTAACTCAGACGATCAAGCCCTAGGGGAAGGCCAGGGATGCGGATGGACTTAATCACCCCCTGCATTATTCCAGAAGATTCTGCATCCCACAGTGAACCTACCGTGCTTCTCGAAAGGAACATCATCTTCTACAAACGGCTCAAAGTCTTCCCGCTGCCTCACCATGAAGTCCACTGTCTCCTGTCGGTGCTTGAGATGATTTCGCGAGTGTCCCTCCAGCTGGTCACCAAGAGCTCTGAACAGGCAATTGCTGCCAAAACAGGAACACTGGTCACGACCTTCCAAATGCGGACTCAGTTTACCTAAAACAATGTTTCGTGCCAGACCCTCCTCGGAAATCTCTCAGAGGTCAAGCTTCAACGCTAACCGTACATGATTCTTTGATTCTTTCCCAATCCTGGGGAGGCGGGGGGGAGGGGGGGCACAAGAGAGCTACCCAATCACATCACCTTCCTGAGAGGAATGAACAGGAACTCGTGCCCACTCACCAGCTGGCTGACTCAGGAGGGTCAGGCAATGTCCTGGGCCTCAGCAAGTGGACGTTGGGAGAGCGTAGGGTCTCCCAGCAAACACAGGGCCCAGACCTCAGAAGCCATTCCACACCTCAGGGCTGTGAGTCCTGGATCAGATCCCTCCCTGAAACAGGCGTCACTACAGCAGTCCACCTAAGTAACTGTTCATATAACAGACACTGCTTCTCAAAAGACGGCAATTGGTGAAGCTCCCAACACAAACAACTGAACTCAACATGCTGAGTCCCAAGAACACAGTGGAGAAAGCCAGAAAGCGCACGGACAGCAGCTGCACTGTGGAGACATCTCCTCCCTCGCCCCCTCACCTGTCTGTCAGCCAGCCAGCAACAACGCCCAGGTCATTCCTGCCAAATAAAAACCTGAAATACTGCGTTCTGTTTTTCGAAAATTAAAATGTCAGCAATAAACTGTAAGAGTTATGTTTACTTTCAAATGCCTCAAAGGCATCTACAATTCCAAACTATATCACAAACACAGAGGCCTGGATACAGAGACGAAAAGAAGACAAACACAATCTGGTACCCTGACAACTAAGCAAGTGCGCCACTCGGAAGCTAACAGCTGCCCAATTTCACACTAAACTGTTTACTCTTCCAAATGAAAAGCTGGGATGCTCTAACCCCAAACAGAAACTCATCCGTTTCAGGAGGATTTCAGACTTCCATGTGTAGGAGAAAAGGTTTTTTGCTTTGCAGTTCAGAAAAGTACATTTTCAATAGACTGTAACAGGGTGGCAGGAAACTCTTCTAATGTACAATCTCTTCTTTTTTCTTGGAGGGAGCAAGAAAAAGGGAGATTTCTAAAGAGTCTATAAATTAGAAAGCAAGAACCTTTACATCCATCTGTGACAAGATTCTAGGAGGGTCAGACTGCAGGGCTCTACGCTGCACTGAGTGTCCACTGCTGAAATCTAACGAGGGCAGCCATTTTTTTGATCACAGAGACAAAGCTAACAGATAAAATCTTTTCAATTTTCAGCTTTGCTCAAGCTTTTCTTAACCTTTTAAGCATCTACCACCATTAGTCTACTTTTTTAATTTTAAAAGATTTATTTATTTATTTGAAAGGCAGAGTTACAGAGAGGTAGAGGTAGAGGTAGAGAGAGAGAGAGACAGATCTTCCATCCGCTGGTTCACTCCCAAATGGCTGCAATTGAGCCGATACGAAACCAGGAGCTTCTTCCGAGTCTCCCACATGGGTGCAGGGGCCCAAAAACGTAGGCCATCTTCTACTGCTTTGCAGGCTACAGAAGAGAGCTGGATTGGAAGTGGAGCAGTCGGGACATGAACTGGTGCCTGTATGGTATGCTGGCACTGCAGATAGCGGCTTTACCCTCTACGCCACAGCGTCGGCCCCCACTAGTCTACTTCTGAATCTAGTTTGAGATGTAAAACCTAGCACAAAAATTACTTTTAATAGCTGAAAATTCAGAGTATCCCATAGAAAGTAACATGCTTAGGACTGGCGCTGTGGCATAGTGGGTTAAGCCACAGCCTGCAGTGCCAGCATCCCACATGGGCGCCCATTCAAGTCCCAGTTGCTCCACTTCCAATCCAGCTTCCTGATAATGTGCCTGGGAAAGCTGTGGAGCATGGCCCAAGTGCTTGGGCCTCTGAGCCCTCATGGCAGGCCCAGAAGAAATATCCGGCCCCTGACTTCAGCTTGGCCCAGCCTCAGTTGTTACAGCCATTTGGGGAGTGAACTAGTGGATGGAAGACCTCTCTCTCTCTCTCTCTCTCTGTCTCTGTCTCTCCTTCTCTCTTTCAAAAAAATAAATAAATCTTTTTTTTAAAAAAAGAGAGAGGAATGAAAAAAAGAAAGTAACATGCTTGCAAAGAACTTTACTAACACAGGCAAATGTTACCCACAAACTCCAGAAGAGAAGGTATAAAACTAGATACACCACATGAGTATCACACATTCATCTGCCCAACACACACAGACACAGGCAAAGAATAAGCCCTGAAACCACTGCTGAAGTATCTGCGTGGCCACAGCCTGTTCTAAATACTCCACCTGTACTAACTGTGCCTGCTGCTTTCCACTGTACTGACAGGGATTTTTATTAGCCCCCAGGGTCACAGAACTAGCAGGTGGTAAACTTGGGATTCAAACCCAGGCAACCTGGCTCTAGCCTGTACTCTCACTCAAACATCAACACTAAAACGTCAGGCCACCATTATCCCCACGTAGAATTAGGAGTAACTGTCAAATTTATCCACTTTTCTATATTCACCAAACTCTCAGTTCATTAAAAACAGGTCAAGATAGAGTGAAACTGCTTCCTTTTCCGACTGGGTTACAGGCAGTGACACAGGAAACAAGGACAAACACCAGTGACTTGGGTTTCCTTAGGGGAGACCAGCAAGAGGACTAAAGACACTGAACCAAGCACCATTGCCCAAGGGACCCCTAGGCGATCCGGGCTGTCTGCCAGACCACACCATCACTACCATACTACAGCAGACTCTGAATCTCACGGACAGCTGAGCTAACTCTTTGCTGGGGGAGCCGTCTCGTGTGCCACAGCACGTGGAAGGGCGCCTGTGGCCTCTTCCTACTAGATGCCGGCAGCACTCTGCCACCTCCCATCAGCTGTGACAACCAAAAATGTCTCCAGACATTGCCAAATGTCCCTTGGGAGAGCCAGATCATCCGTGCTTGAGAACCGCTGTGCTTTAGGGATATAAGGTCTAGCATTTGAGTTGACAAAAACAACCAATTACACAAGCAGCATGTAAGGGGTTTGGGTGTTAAATAATTTAGTACAATACTTCAATATAGACACCAAAACAGTTTATGGACTCTGACACTGCAGTTACAGCAATGTGCAGGAAAGGAGGGGGAGAAGGTTGTGTTCGTCTTCAAGGTCAAACCACTCTGACCTCTAAGAGATTCCAAGCCAGTGTGGTGTTTACAATTCCGGTGTCCTGTAGCACTGGGCACTGCTCTGGTTACTGTATCTCAGGAGACATATTGAGATGATGTGGTGGGCATTAAACTATATAACACGAAGCACAGGAACCAGTAATGTTGAGCACTAGAGCAGCTCCGAGGGACACGGTGCTGGCTCCAGCTGTCTGTCATTCCAAGCAGCACATTTACTCGTACAGTGAAACTAAGCCGTGGAGGTGCAGACACTCAGTGAGTCTGGTAATAAAGGGAAGTGTGCTCAGCACTAGTGACTGCAGGCTCAGGGCTGTGTGACTGTGTGCACTGTGTGCACTGGCAGTCCCGGAGCTGCCCAGGTCTGGACCACCTAACCACTGAGCATCTGAAGTGCGGCTGAGCGGAGAGCTGTGCTGCACGTGTGACACACTAGCTTCTGACAAGTTCATATTAAACAACTATTATCTTACCAGTAATTTTTATATTGATTATATGTTGAAAGTGGTAATATTTTAGGCAGACTGGCTTAAATGTAATTAAAATTAGTTTCACCTGTTCCTTTTTACCTTATTAATTTGAGAGGCAGAAAATGCTGGGGCCCCATCCCAGGCCTACTGAATCACACACAGGGGCTGGGGCCAAGCAATTTAGTCTCTCCAGCTGTTTGAAGTAGCACACCACGTCCCAGATTTTGAGATACATTAACCTGGAATCTAGAGTCTAAATCAGTGATTCCAAATTATGACAGCATGTTAAAATTACCAATGAAACTTCAGCTGATCTACAAACAAGCCAAGGCATGACATTTTTTAAATGAGTGTTTCCACTGGGCCAGTAGTGTTGAAAACTACTTAACTAGGTGCCAAAGATAGGACTGCTGTACAGGTTATGTGAACCAGGCAAGACGTTTTGTGAGCAGCCTTCTACCACTAAGATCCTACCGGCTCAAATGCTGCTTCCGGGGGCAGGCATTGTGACACAGCAGCGTCCCACACGGGAGCACTGGTTCCAGTACCAGCCACTCTGCTTCAGATCCAGCTTCCAGCTGACACATCTTGTAAGGTAGTGGAGGATGGCCCAAGTGACCCACGTGGGAGACCCAGATGAATTTCAGAATCCTGGTCTTAGGCTGGCCCAGCCCTGGCTGTTGGCAGCCATTTGGGGAGTGAACCAGTGGGTGGAAATACCCCTTTCTCTCCCTTCTCCTCCCCCTGCCCTGCCCCTCTCTCTATGCGTCACTTTGCCTTTCAAAGAAATAAATAAAGCTTAAATAAATAAATAAATAAATGCACAAGAGGCCACTGGAAGATCCTCACCAGGGAAGCTGTGGCCAGATCTACAGTTGAGAAGTTTAAAAAATAATAAAATAAAAATTAAAAATAAAATTACTTGTTATAAATAGCAAAATTAGTAATTTCTCAATGCTTTAATTTTAGAACACTACTAACTAGTAATGTAATTTAGGGTTACATCCAGTAAGATGTAACAATATAGTCCAGAGACAGGCCAATACTGTACTGCTAGTCACTACACACTAAAGCCAGCCAAGCTCTTACAGACAACATCCACCACATCAACTTTATCTTGAAGCTGAATTCAATTTCTGTGGGTCTACCCTCTAGATAACACATCCAATGTGACAATGGTCCTTGATACAAATGTTGTAAGTCTCTCTCTGATTAATCTATGCTAAACGGGGTCAATTCATGTAAAGGCTACATCACAGCAAACCAGCCCATTTCACTCCCCCAAGCCACCAGAGATCCCAAAATGCTACAAGTATCATATTGTCAAAATCATGCTTATAGCAAGATGCTATTGTGATCAGATCACAGTAGAAAGGAAGAGCGAAACTGTCAACTTTAGTACCCTAACTTCATATCTCACCCTGAGTAATCAAAGAATTATTGTTTTATTTGAGACGTGGAGAGAGAAAGTCATCAAGAGCCCCCATTTGCTTTTGCTGGTCACTCCCCAAACGCGTGGGAGCCTGGAACTCATTTCAGGATCCCAGGTCCCGGCAGGGACCCAATTACTTGGGCCATCATTGCTGCTTCCCAGGCATGCATTAGCAGGGAGCTGGACTCAGGAGCAGGCCCAAGACTTGAACTCGGGCACTGCTATGTGGGAGGTGGGTGCCTTAGGCAGTATCTTACCTACTATGCCACACCCTTCCCTCAATCAGCACTTGACAGCAGATGCTGACCCCTGCTGCTCCGTCACTATCACCACCATATTCTAAACGGCCACAGCACCAGAGGGCTGACGCGGTCCACCTCAGGACTCCCAAGCGAGGAATGTGTGAACAGAAGGGGGTTATCTGCTTCATGGAGCCCACATCAGGAAGACGATCATCCTGTCTAACGCCCAGGGATCTCAGCAGTGAGACATCAGCGTTCCGGGCCGCTGGCCTCTGCAGGCCCTGCCCCTCACTGCTCTCCTGTTCCCCAGGCTGCTGTCATCCGCGGCAACTTACAGATCTTCAACACAGAGCGCGTCTGTGCCTCTCTACTAGGGCTCCCCACCCCGCTCCCCTCGGCCCCTCCGATCCCATCAGAGCAGCCCTGCCCTGCCCAAGGGCCGAGTGTGTGCTGCATGGGCGAGGTCTTCCCGCCCACTCCAGGGTGTCCTAGCCGCTTCCTCCTCCGTAACACCAGGGAAATCAGTCACTAAGAGTATTTCGAGCCTTATTTTAATTATTTCTATTATTCGTTCGCAAAGCGTGATTCAGGACCTGGGGAGGTGGGAGGTCCCTGAGACCCTTCCAGGGTAACCACGAAAAACGGTTTTCACCTCCTTCACCCCCATTCTCTCCCAGTGCACAGTGGAGCTTTCCAGAGGGTACCCGATACACTGCCCATAGAGCCACCAGGTGTGGCGAGCTCGGGGGATGGCGTCTGCTCACTCTCACGTCGCACAGCTTCCTGTTGCGGCCACACTAAACGCTGGTGGCTGTAATGACATAAAGGAGTTCGGGCTCCTCCGTGATGGCCAGTGTGCCTCCCTTGCCACCCCAGAACTCGCTAAGTATCTCAGCCATCAACACACTCCCAGCGCCTCCCTCAAGGAGCGGGTGCCGCGAGAACTGCAGACGCGGGGGTCGGGGGGAGGGGAGCCCCGAGATGCCGCCGCCTTCCCAAAGCGTCGCAAGACCCCACTGCGCCTGGCGCACTCAGTTCCGCTCCTAAGCAACCTTCTGCCGCCAACCGCAGGCTCCTGGGCCCCCTGAGAGTGTCAGGCCTAGAGCGGCCGACACGCGCGACCCCCGGCCCACCCCCACCGGACACACCGCAGAGTCCGGTGCTCAGGCCTGGGCAGGCCGGCCTGTGTGACACTGTTCTCTGCCACTCAGAGAAAAAAAAAAAAAAAAAGTGGGAAAAGCTTGCTCTCCCTACGCCGGGCGCCGGGAGAGCAGACGCAGCCAGGCCGTTCTTGCAGCTCAGGCGGAAGCTGGGACGAACGCCGGGAACACCGAGAGATCCCATTCGCCCGAGGCTGGGGCACGCGCGAGGTAGGAAAGCGGAAACGGCAAACCCAGGGCAGTTCGCGAGCGATCCCGACCGGGAAGCTGCGGCGAGCCCAGAGGACGCCTTCCTCCGCCTCGGCGGCTCTCGGCCGGAAAGTCACCGCCCGGAGAGGCCTGGGGCCGACCCGAAGCGGCTCCGCTCTCTAGAGCCCTCGGGCCGTCTGCCCCCACGAACACCTCTGGGGTCCTCGTCCGGCCCTCCGGTCCCCGCACCCCCGCGCTCGCGGGAGGCGCTCGGGACGCCCGCGGGAATGAATGGACGGGGGCGGGCGACGGTCGCCGGGCCCGGCCCGGCGCATCCCCCGGCGCCGCCTCCCGCGCTCCCGGCCCGCCTCACCCGTCCCCCGGCACCTCCCGCAGCTTCAGCCCCAAGGCCTGCAGCTGGTTGGCGAAGCTGGCGAACTCCTCCTCGCAGCCGCCGCCGCCGCCGGACTCCGGCCGGTTCCGTCGCTCCTTGGCCAGGGCCCGGCGCGCCGCCCGCTCGTCCCGCTTGCGCTCGGCCTCCACTTTGCGGCTGCCGCTGCCAGGCCGGCTCTTCGCCGCCTGCTTTCGGGACATGGCCTCGGCCCGCGGCGGCAGGAGAGAAAGCCGCAGGAACGCCGGGCGGCCGCCTCAGATGCCGAGGAGGCAAAGCGGCACGGCCGACGAGCCCGGCGACGGCGGCGCGCCTACCGCGCCTGCGCGGACGCGACGGCCCGCGGTCACGTGACGAGGTTTCCGCCGACCCCGCCTCCGCGGAGCGCGGCCGAAGGACGGCATGGAGAGCGCCTGCGGGGCTAGAGAAGCAGCCATCTTGGCTTGTCCTGCGCTGCCCCCTAGCGGTGGGGCGGTCCTTCAAGGGAGGAGCAGGTGGAACCAGACCCGGTTCCCCAAAACACACACACAAAATCAACACAATCAAAGAGAAATATTAATAGAAGAGTGAGGCGACAAGAGTTGAGAAAGGAAGGAAACGACAACGAAAGATGTAACCCTGGCTGTGTGCCCCTGTCTGGGATAGGCACTTTCACATGGTGCATTCTTGTGTGGTTGTCCCCAAATACAGGAAACAGCCATGAGGTTAGTAAGTGATTGCAAGGCTACACAGCCAACAGGCAGAGCTTAGCGCCGCCTCCGGGGCCCGTACACTCCCTTAATTCCCGCCCTCTTCGCCTTCTCTCATAACTTAACCACCAAGCAGCCCTCTGTCTGAGATTGCTGATGCTACCTCCGGTGCGCCAGAGTCCATCCTGGGACGACCAACCTGGCTTTGCCTGGATAAGGATGTTCCTGGGTTGCAAGAGTTCCTGTTTTAACACGGAGACAATCCTGGGAAAATCAGAAAAAGCCACACTCACGGGACCTGGAACCTAACTCCACCAGTAGTCTCTTCCCCTCCCCTCCCCTATCTTGGCTCCTCTTGTTTAAGATTTATCCATTCATTCATTCATTCATTCGAGAGGCAGAGTTACAGACAAAGAGAAGGACAGACAGAATGGTCTTCTATCCACTGGTTCACTGCTAATGGGAAACAGGATCCAGGAGCTTCTTCCTGGTCTCCCACATGGGTGCAGGGGCCCGAGGACTTGGGCCATCTTGTACTGCTTTCCCAGGCCATAGCAGAGAGCTGGATCAGAAGAGGAGCAACTAGGACTCAAACCGGTGCTTATGTGGATGCCAGCACCGCGGGCGGTGGCTTTGCCCACTACACCGCAGAGCCAGCCCAGCACCACAGAGCCAGCCCAGCACCACAGAGCCAGCCCAGCCCTGTAATGTTTGTATTTTCTCACCCTGCCAGCAAGTTCCCTGGGACAGTCAGATCTGCTTTCCCAATTTCACGGATCATCTCTATCATCAATAGGTAAATAACTCTCATTACCTATGCTGGGGGCCTGAGATAACACCAAATTAGCAGACAGGACAGTTGCCTTCTGGGATCCCAGGGTCCAGTGGGGAGTGTTGTAGAACCCCACAAGGCCTGGTGTGTGGGCCAATCACTGACAGCGGAGTGGGAGAAGAAAGCAGGAGTTTACTGTGCAATGCACAGAGCCGGGAGACAGGCAGCCAGCACTGAGTTCCTGAGCTCCCCGAGAGGTGAAAGGGGGCGGGCGGACCTTACAGATTCAAGTGGGAGTTGTGCGGAGCGTGACCGGCTTGCGGGCAGGTCTCTGGTTGGTCCACAGTGCTCATGGCCTTCCTTTGATTGGTCAGCGATAGGAGGCTATGGTCTTTGGTTGGTCCGGGGTCTAGGGTGGGCGGGGCATTAATTTCTTTGATCAGAGCCTGGAGTTCCTGTGAAACCTCTCAGAGTAGAGCAAAGCATTGGTGAAGACTGCATTCGGGGTGTCTGTGATTTGTGGTCTCTCCATTGCCCTTACCCTGGGTCCCTCCCTTAATGGAGCGAGTTAGTCTTGGAGAGGATTCATAATCACCAAAGCGAACACAGAGGACCCACGGCCGAGGGCGAGAAACCAGGGCCTGGTAAAGTCTACATCAAAGGCAGGAGAGGTAGGAGCTGTTTCAGGGCTACAGGCAGTCACAGCGCTGCAGAACTTGGCCAGGGAGTTCAGAGCAGAGGGGCTGTGTCTTCTCCCCGTCGGAACTTGGATGAGGAACAGAAGGAAGTTCGATTTGACCGGAGCACAGGGCTCTAGCCGTGAGCCAGGAAATGGAAAGCGGGGTGTGGTCCGGCCGTGACTTACAGGCTGTAGGACAGAGTGGAGTGCAGCTGTTGAAGGGCCCTAAGCCGGGGGCTGACATATCATGTTTGCATTTAGAAGCACGGCCTTGGCTATGGCGGGGAGAGTGGGTTGAAGGGGGGATGCTTTGGTTTGGATGCTGAAAGTCCCCCCAAAGGCCCACGTGTTCAGGAATTGCTCTCAGGGTGGAGCCTCTAGGAGGCGGGGCCCAGCGGGAAATCCTTGGGTCACTGGGGGCGTGTCCTTGCAAGGGCATTTTCGAGAGAGGGTTTTTGGGCTCAGTTCAGTCTCTCTGTTCCTGGCTCAAGATGCGACCTTTAGCTCTTCCACGTACTTCTGCCACCCTCACCTGACCCCCAAACAACGGGGCCACGCAGTCTTGGGCTTGACTCTCCCAAACGAGCATCTAAGCAAAGCCTTTCTCTTTGTAAGGAGAGCTCCTGGGGTATCTCACTGTAGCAAACGCAAAGCTACAATGCAAAGGGGAGAAGCCAGGTAGGAGGGTCCTGCGGGTGTCCAGAGACAGGTGATGGTGATGGCGGGGGCCAGATGGACAGATGTCAAGTGTGAGCTCGTGACACAGAATGTGATCGGGCTGTTGTCAACCACCTTGCGTGTTTCACACTTTCTGAATTGCCTCCTTCACACACACACACCCCACTTCTCAGGGAGAGAGAGCCTGAGCCCTGGCCATCCTCACCCTTTTCTGCGTGGGTGTTCCAAGGCCTGCACTGACCCCTCTGCTTGCATTGAGTTAAGTAGGGAGGCCGCGCTAGGAGTGGGAAACCACAAGAGGGCAGAGAGGCGGGTTCTGGTCCAGGTCCACCATGGACTGACTGCATGATCTGGGGTTAGTGGCTTTGTCTCCCAGCCTCCTTTTTCCTCTCCCGTATAATGGGCGTGACGACAGGGAGCACCGCGACAATCGCGGTGGTGATCGTGGCCAGCCTTGGTGGCGCGTTCCCTGGGAAAACTGTGGCACTGCAGATGGAGCATCCGTGTCGAAGCCTGGCGGAAGGAAGCCGAGGAAGGCGTGGAGGGCGGGCCTCGCCTATGATTTGCCTGATCGCAGGAACTGTCGCAACCTCAGTTTACTGCATGAGCCACACGACAACTGCTAGCCGCTTGTACAAGAACACTTGCTTGACACACACGCCGAAGCGCGATCTGGCGAAACAGCTTGCTGGGACCCGCAGACTGGTTTACCTAGCGCCTGCCGACACTGCCCGAGCAGAGCTCACGTCTCTCACCTGACACAGTGCCGGGGGATTTCTTCCAAAACACGGTCCATCGTTCTTTCCTCTTTCTCCGCCCTGTCCTGTGCACGCACGTGTGTCCTGGATGCAATCCTGTTCTTTGTCATCCCCCAAATAAACCCCCCCCCCCCGGTCTGGAAATTCACATCTGTATTTTGTTTGACAGCTATGAGAGAGGCGCTATTCTCATTGTTTTGCCAATGCTATCTTGTTGAAAGTGATTACAGCAGAGGCACCGGCCAGCCCAGCGCTGTGGTACAGCGGCTTAAAGCCCCAGGCCTGCAGCTCCACTTCCAATCCAGCTCGCTAATAATGTGCCTGTGAAAGCAGCAGAGCATGACACAAGAGCTTGGGCCCCTGCACCCACGTGGGAGACCCGGAGGAAGCTCCTGGCTCCTGGCTCCTGGCTTCAGGTCAGCCCAGCTCCGGCCATTGCAGCCATGTGGGGAGTGAACCAGTGAATGGAAGACCTCTCTCTCTCTCTCTCTCTCTCTCTGTGACTCTACCTCTGTCTGTAACTCTCTTTCAAATAAATAAAATAAACCTTAAAAAAAAAAAAGTCATGATAGCAACCCAATGAGATAGGGATAATTTTTATTCCCACTTTGTATGGGAGAAAACTAAGGCACAGGAAGGCTGAGTAACTTCCCCGAAGTCACGTAGCCAGGCAATGGCAGAGCCAGGATTTGCAGCCAGGACACCTGGCTCCAGCGTCTACGCTCTGAACCACTGTGATGTACATCACATATGGATTTTCAGAAATTGCAAAGCACCCTACATAACACATCAGTTTAGTCTATTTCTAACTCTCCTAACATCTCCCTTATTTACTGCTGATACGGTCTTTCTATCGTCTCTTTCTTCTATCACTCGTGTCTGATGTTCTAAGTTCCTCTGCACTATAGTGGGTCGCAAAGACGTCGAACCAAAGCCGTTGAGAAAGGGGATTTCCAGCCCAGGTTCATCATGGGCAAGTCATTTAATTCTTGATGCTTGGTTTTCTATTCTATGGACATCAGAAGGGAGGGGAGAGCGGTAGAGCCCCCGCACACAGTAGGTCCAGCAGTTGCTAGAATGACCCCATTGGTTGGGGAAAGCTGGTGGGCTCAGGGGCAGAGCCCCTGAGAAGTTCAGCAACCAGGGACATTGGGTTTGTCATGGGAAAACATGGGGGAAGGCAGAGTATAACCATACAAGGAATCTTCCAAAAGCTCAGGGTGCGTGGAATTAAAGATAAATGTATTTGGGTGCAAAACATTTTGAAATGCACGCATAGTTTATAACCATCAGCATTTTCCGTGAGCTTTCTGAAGATGCCCCTCGTATGGACAGACATGTGGCCACGTGCCCTTCTCAGATAAAACTCTCGCTTGCAAAAGCCCGTCACCTCAGCCCTGCACAGAATTTGGAATGAGCTGGGTCCTCTACCCTCAGCAGAGGCCTGGGTTAGCCAATGTCTCTCTTTACCTGCAAAACAATACTGCTTATAAATTATACCTAAGTCCAAAGGGAAGGGTGCTTATGAATAAAAGACTCTTGACCAGAAGTAATTAAAAGAAACATCCTTCCTTGTCAGGTGGCATTCAGTATAAATTAGTGCAAAGTCTGACTACGGGAACTACAGTCAAGAAAAGCAGTTTTCAGACTTTCAAAAAAATAAACTTCCAGGGCAGGGACTCATTCACGGCTCCTGAGAGGTAAATGAGCCACCGTGGAGGGCAACTTGAGCTGCCCGGTGCCTGCACTCTCATT